GAAAGTATTCTCTACCATGGACCTGTTAGTCGAGGAGTATGAAAATGCGCTGCCCTTAGAATATTTTTTGAAGAATGGGGGTGGACCTTTTGACGACCAAGTTGCGACTATCGGACTTGACGCCTTCTTGGTATGGTCAACATATATATTATCCTCAATGATGTGCTTGACATTTATCTTAGAACATGCTTCTGCTGGACAACTTCGTACATGCCGATCTCCATCCTGGCAATATCATGATCAAATTCACCAAACCTCCTTCCACTCGTGATCTGCTCAAATGCATATACAAGTCTCTATTAACGAAAGACTCTACACCCCATCACCTCGCCGAACACCCAATTGAATCAGATGCAATTGTCTCACGTTTACGTGCAGTGAGGGACGCGCCTTCGGAATGGCAGGTGGAACTCAAAGCCGTCGCTGAAGAGGGTTATGTTCCCGAGATAGTCTTTATCGATGCAGGATTGGTAACCACCCTCAACACAATCAACCGCAAAAACTTCCTCGATCTCTTCCGTTCTGTGGCCGAGTTTGATGGATATCGCACTGGTCAGCTCATGGTTGAGCGATGTCGTACTCCCGAACTGGCTGTCGACACCGAAACGTTCGCTCTTAAGATGCAGCATATTGTACTCTCCGTCAAACGCAAAACTTTCTCGCTCGGTCAAGTCAAGATCTCCGACATCTTGACTGATGTTCTCAAGGCAGTGCGGCAACACCATGTCAAGATGGAAGGCGATTTTATCAACACGGTGATTTCAATTCTGTTACTTGAGGGTATTGGGAGGCAATTGGATCCTGGACTTGATTTGTTCAAGAGTGCACTGCCAATCTTAAGGCAGCTGGGGAGGCAGATGACTGCGCAAGAAGGAATGGCACAACTTCCTTCAGGCAACCTTGGAGCGCTGTTGAAGGTGAGTACACTTCATCGCGAAATATTTCCAGTGACTGATAATATATCAAGGTATGGGTATGGCTAGAGGCTAGACAACTGGCATCCGCCGCATTCCTTAACGTAGATGACTTTATCAAGTATGACTGGTAAGTTTCGGTTTCATGAGCTTCTTTCCTGTGTATCTTAAGCTTTTGTAGGCTTGTTCCGAACATTTGATCAAATTAGAGACGTCCATCGAGAACTTCATCGCAATCGATCCTCATGCTTACCCAGTATCGAAGTAGAACGATGTAGGGATACATTACACATAACTCAGTTTATAGTAAAGTAGAGTACATTACAGTAAATTCCTTATTGCATTATCGGTTACTCCGGTACGCAGGCAGTCGGGCCTCGGAATAGCAAGATTTCCATAATCTGCATGTGTACTGATCGTCTGGTCACTCGTACTTGATCGTCATCACAGTGATCTGCGATGGCGAATGCTCTACTGACAACAGATCTTCCCGGTCTTACTCTGATATCGCGGGGCAAAGTGCGCGACATATACACAACATCGTCACCCGAGCATCTCTTATTCGTAGCAACTGATCGGATATCCGTGTTTGATGTCATCTTGCAAAATGTTCGCCTCGATACTTGCTCCATGCCCACTCATTCGATCTGACATGACTGTATCTTACAGGGAATACCGGACAAAGGGAAACTTCTCACAAATATATCGCTTTTCTGGTTCGACAAACTCAAGGATATCATTCCCAATCATCTCGTTACGGTCAATATCGACGAGATGCCAGAGGAAGTGAGGCAGTACCGCGATCAGCTCGAAGGACGAACCATGCTTGTTCGGAAGGCAAAGATTATTCCCATCGAGGCCATTGTGAGAGGATACATCACTGGTGAGTGCGCCAACTTGTCATCTTATTTTTCTCTGTTAACATGAGCAATATAGGTTCAGCATGGGCCGAGTATCAAAAGACCGGGACAGTCCACGGCCTTTCGTTTGAAGGCATCAACTTGAAGGAGTCCGAAAAGTTTACAGAGCCTCTATTCACACCCTCGACCAAGGCCGAGCAGGGCGCTCACGACGAGAACATCACCCCTGAAATAGGTCTGTGATCACATCTTTCTCGTTGATCACCTTGCTGAAAATATCATAGCTGCCCAACTCATCGGAGAAAAGCTGTATGCCAAGATTGCAGAGACGTCTTTGCGGCTGTATAAGACCGCTGCAGAATATGCCCTCTCCTGTGGTCTGATCCTCGCGGATACAAAGTTCGAGTTCGGACTCGTTTCCGCTGGAGACGAAGAACAGCTCATTTTAGTCGATGAAGTGTTAACACCTGATTCATCACGTTATTGGCCGGCGGATGAGTATGAAGTTGGACATGGGCAACCCAGCTTTGACAAGCAATATGTACGGGAGGCACTTAAGAAAGCCGGGTACAGGACTGGTTTAGAAAGTGGTCCTGAAGGGAAAGGTGAGGGGTGGAGCATTGATGCTTCCGTTATCAGAGGCACTCAGGAAAGATATCGAGACGCCGAGAAACTCTTGAAGAGTGGAACGCACTGATGGAGCTAAACCGAGTGGAGGCCATTTACATTATTTTACTATTTGATTTCTAGAATGTATTCCCGTTGCGTTTGTGGCTCGAAGCGCCGCAAGCCATCTGCATTACAAGATAAAATCCCTAATCAACGTGCTGGCGCCAAAGACTCCGGCCAAGCTCTTTCGTATTGATTGGCAGCCTTTACAGCTACTCCAAGTGCACGAGCAGCCGTCAATGGCCAGTGTGGGTTGCGCATCAATTCCCGGGCCAGGAGAGCAATATCAGCTCTACCGTCCTTGAGGTAAGATTCAACCTCGTGTGGGTCCGTGAGCAAACCGACAGCGCCGATCAGAAGTTGTGGGTATGCTTTTTTCAACGCTTCAGCGAATGGCACCTTGGGAGTGATGGACGCGCGTCAGCCAGGTTGAAGTAGACTGATAGTAAGAAACTACCTGGTATCCGTGGCTTAATGCAAATTTCTGCTTGACCCAATTGCCACCACTACTCGTATCTATCAAATCAACTCCCAAGGTTTGTAGCTCGCCGACAAAGACTTTGCTTTGCTCGATCCCCCATTGCTTCCAAGCGCCATCTTCAGCTTGTTCCGGACCCTCTGCCCAATCGGCAGCACTGATACGGACAAATAGAGGTTTATCTTGCCATGTGTCGCGTATACGCTTGACGATGCGCAAAGGCAGGCGCATACGATTGGATAAATCACCACCATACTCGTCCGTACGATGGTTCGATAACGGAGAGAGGAAGTTGTGTATGAGATAGCCATGCGCACCGTGCACCTCGATGAAATCAACTGCAAATGCGGCTCAATCACGATATACAATGTGTCTCCAAAAGATCACCACACACATCCGATGGTCTTGCAACGTTCCACTGCTGCAACAAAAGCATCTTCCACACGTTGCATATCACTATTCGTCATGGCCTTGGGATGGGGATAATCGTTTGAAAAGGGTATAGCGCTCGGAGCAAATACTAGAAACCGTTATGTATATAAGATGCAAGAAATGCTAAGTTACAGTCAAGCTTACCTTCATCAGGCCAACCACCTTCGCTTACTTGGGCGGTACGCACATTGGCAATGTGAGTCCCAGCGGAGTTTCCATACACCCAAGGTGCGAGGGTCGATGCTTTACGGCCAGCATGAGCCAGTTGAATTCCAATCTTGGTTCCTTGCGAGTGCGCAAAGTTTACTATGCGCTGTAGGGGTGCTATCTGCGTATCTGTCCATAAACCCTGCATTTGGTTTCAGTTGTTTGGAGCGCAATGTAGCAGGATTCTCGGTAAACATACCGCGTCTTCAGGGGATATACGACCTTCTGGGACAACTGCAGTGGCTTCTACGATGATAGCACCCACTCCCCGAGAAGCGTACCCCTAGACTCCGGATATTAAAGTTGGAAACACCGGTGTGGTGTATGCACACTGGACTTACCCCGAGATGTACAAGATGCCAATCAGTGGCATGACCGTTGTCCGAGCTATATTGGCACATCGGTGCCTAAATAATGATGATTACACACATCAATTCCAGGTTTACCAGAGATGTACTTGCCACGAATATTCTGTTCTTAAAAGTTGTGTTCTTGATAGTTATTGGCTTGAATAACTCAGGCAGATTCGCATTCTGCGGAAATATATCCTATCATCCAAAACATTAGAGTGAATCTTATACTATGATCTCCGGGCGCGTACTGTGTTGGTGTATGCTGACCCAATGGCGGGATCATTCAATGGGAAGTAGCCATCGACCCCGCTGACACTGGTATTGAGGTTGGCCATACTGCGAGTGATAATGACACTATGCAAGAGAGGATGGCGTTGAATCCTGTACTGATTGTGATGTGGGTTTATAATCTCGGCACCTGGGAAGAACTTCCGAATATTTATCAGCATGGTCGCCCCCATACGGAATGGACGATCTGGGTCAAAGTTGTAGCCGCGTGATGTCTTCGATCCTCGGCGAAGTTCGCACTGTGAACATGGGCTGTAAATGGGAAATAGACCACGAGGATTTTAAATGCTATCACAAGGATGCGCACTGGCAGGAGATTGAGATAGAATGCCGGTATCTTTGCAAGCATCAAACTGTTCTAAGTAAACAACCAGCCAGGGAGAGTCTGTTTGGGTGTAGGCTGACATACGAAATTTGCACTTGAATTGAGGAGCAGCATTTTATATGCACAATAAGACCATCGGGTATGCACTGCAAGGAATTCAAACATTTGCATAAAACAACAACATTAGGATGGACGTACGGTAACGCTTTCCTTCAAACCCAGTCTCGGACACAGCCGCTCCATTTGAGCTCCGCTGACACAGACAGTTGACGCGGCATTCCCGGCAAACAATCGGAGTTCTATTGAGCCGTAGTTTGCCGCGCCCGTCAAATCCTGGAAAGCGCGAAGCAAACACAACACAACGTTTCAAATAATATATCTCTGTAGGATTTCAATCATAAAAACTGAGCTATCTCTTGAGAGACAATTATTTCCACACAAGCAGTGTGGTATAGGTGGACTACAGTCACACAAGCCGGGGTAGCTCAGCTGGGAGAGCAACAGACTGAAGTCTAGTTCTGTGGATCGAACACTCGTGCGAATTCTGGAGGTCCTGTGTTCAAATCACAGTCCTGGCATTCCATTTTGACGCGATATACGCTCAGCATCGGCTGTACTGCAGCAGACGCTGCGGAACACCCATGAATCATGTTCTGTCCTGAGTGATCAATATCTAGCCGTACTTTCCTTTTTGGGCTTTAAAGCACCATATCAGGAAAAGGTGGAAGACCGAATCACTGTATATGGTCATATGTTCTCACACTCAACACTAGCCTTTAGATCGCGTCCTTGTCGCCTCCTCTATCTTTCCCTCCCGAACAAGCAACATTAATCACAACAAGCAACTAATTAGATGGCCCCTCGTCGACCAACTGCATCGGAAGGGAGTATGCCTCCCCCAAGTCGTCCTGCTACCCCAGGAGAAGAATACGAAGAGGTAATTTTTGCTAAAACGTAGGATGGTTATCATCCTAATGCATCTTGACAAGACCCCATTTTTCGACAACGTCGATGAGCTGCAACAGCAAGTAAGCGTGTTATACAATTCCACACGACATTCATCTTTACTCTGTAAAGGGTATTAATGTACAAGACATACTGAAACTGAAGGTCTTTCTTGTCCATGTACGCGTCTTTACACTTTCTAAGCCGTTATTAGGGGGCGGCGATCAATACCATCTCCGGCGTCATCATGACGACGCGCCGACAGTTGCTCAAAATAAAGGTACGTGCGCTTGCTGTTAGCGTAGGTCTTATCCGTTATGGACGATAGGGAATGTCTGAGGCAAAAGTCGAAAAGATCAAAGTACGCATATATGCGTCTAATCTCTCAGGCGAGCTAATTAGAATAAATATCACAGGAAGCTGCGCAAAAATCGACGGTATTGCTATCAGTTTCAGGTGGGTCGGCATATACTCACGCCTTACAGGGATCATCATTTGCAACTGGTATCGAGGTACAAGACCGACGGAAGCGAGTTCTTGTAATAAGCACAGGAAGCAAATCCGTCGACGCGATCTTAGGCGGTATAGTCTCATTGCTGAGTTGCGATGATGCAGATCCCCTATTAATTAATTTGTTACAGGCGGTATAATGTCTCAGTCGATCTCTGAAGGTGTGTCGCGCCACTTTTAAAAGTATACTTACCACCGACTTTCTCAATCATAGTGTACGGTGAATTTCGGACTGGAAAGACGCAACTGGCACATACTATGTGTGTCGTTGCGCAACTTCCTCCAGAGCTTGGAGGTGCCTCTGGGAAGGCAGGAATCTTTGTTTGCCTTACTGTTCACCGTTTCTTATTTCCTTGCAGGTTGCATATGTGGATACAGAAGGTCATTCATAAGCATACATACCATGTACCTGCAACCAACGCAACATTACAGGAACTTTTCGACCAGACCGCATCAAGTCCATTGCAGAACGATTCGGCGTCGATGGTAACATGGCTTTGGAGAACATTCTTTATGGTTGTTATAAGCTTAATGAATCGCTCTTATCACTTACCTATGCCTCTTCAGCGCGTGCATACAACAGCGAACACCAGGTCAGGTGTTAGCTTGTGTCGCGCGATCCTTTCTGACATCTCCCAGATGGAACTTATCAACGAGTGCTCTATGCGATTTGCAGATGACAAAGATTACCGCCTCTTGGTAAGCTGTTTTCAGACCCGTTCTTACGTAGATGCGAGCTTTGCAGATCGTGGACAGTATCATGGCTCTCTTCCGCGTCGACTTCTCAGGCAGAGGAGAATTGAGTGAACGTCAACAAAAAGTAATGTGCTTTCAGCGATTTCTTCTCCTTATACTCATCAGATACCATCTAGCTTGCACAGGTACACTCTGGTTGGGGTAAATACTTTTGAGCGGGCTAAGCATCCTTGAAACACAGATGCTATCAAAACTGACCAAACTCACTGAAGAATATAATGTTGGAATTTTGTTCTCGATATTTTTTTTCTTACGCTTTCTCCTTGTAACAGATCGCTGTCCTCCTCACCAATCAAGTACAATGTTAGAGCGCTTACCTTCGCTCCTTTTTATACCCTGACATCCTCATCTGAAGCTGATCCTGGAGCAACAATGACATTCGTCGCTGGAGGCGCCCTGAAGCCCATCGGTGGGCACATCTTATCCCATTCATCTGCAACCCGAATGTTCCTTCGCAAAGGTATGTGGTAGAGAATAGCACAACTTCTGCCAGCCTCGGCTCCTCAAACGATGACGGGATGGACCGCTATCTCAGACATAGCTAACCTACTTCCCATGGGAATTTTTTGAACAATAGGTCGAGCTGAAGAACGTGTCGCAAAACTGGTCGACAGTCCCGATCGACCTGAAAGCGAAGCTTCCTACAAGCTGGACGAAGGCGGCTGGACAGATGTTTGAAGTTCAATTCAACCTACATGTGATTTTCTTTTTATATTTTCTGCTCAGCGCTCAACCGGACTGTTGACTTCCTGTCTCATATTGTGTCATTATACTGAACTGTATCTGTGCCTTTTCCTGTAACACTTCCATGTGAGCCTCTGAATGATATCTGACATAACCATCACAATATTTTTGGATCAGCAATAAGCGATGTGAGTTGCTTTAGCGCTATAATTATAGTTTACAATAATATCCCTATGTATGTTTCCACTTTATCCACAGACAGTTGTCCCCTCATCGCAGCGTTCCTAGGCTCCTAGTCTGCATTGACGCATTGAGGAGATTGCTCATTATCTCCAGTAGTTTTATGTTTCTTTGTAGCACGTGGTCTTCATTGTATGTCGGGAATGTCAATACTCCATCTTGACTTCATCGGACCTGTCCAAATTATCTAACCACGGGATCTTCTCTGCCGCTTTTAACGCTCTGCTAGCTCTAGGTACATGTGATCCGAAGCAGATAAGCATATTCATATGGCCCTTGTGGATACATGCATGTATAAAATCCGGGTGGGTGGATATTCCGGATACTGACCTTGCACCCCTTCACTATGTTGTCCATAGTAAGCTTGGCTGTACTGCTCGCTGTTTCTGGTGTACAAGCTTCAATACCAGTACCTTGGACCCTCCCTACTACATATCCCAACTTGACAGCATGTGCTGCTTTGCCAGCTCAGTACTCATGCGAGAATACGACTGTTCTTACGAACTCTTGCTGCAATGTCGTCAAGGGTGGACTGGTACTGCAAACGCAGTTTTGGGATCTATATACTGGTCTAGAGAATGAGGGCCAGCTTCTTCCCAAAGGAAGTTGGGGCATTCATGGATTATGGCCCGACAACTGTGATGGGTATGTGGTATATCCTATTTTATCTATCAGTAATAAGCTGATCCCGTACAGATCTTACGACCAGTATTGCGATTTAACAAGGCAATATGACCCAGACCCATCGAGCGGGATCACCCCGTACAAGGGTCCCAGTGTCAGAACTTTCATCGAGGCGTTTGGGCGATGGGATTTGCTGGAGTATAGTATGTGGGGATCAATGAAGTATCATCATATAGCTGACATATTCCTGTAGTGGACACTTTCTGGATCAACCAGGGAGCACCTAATGCCGACTTCTGGGCCCATGAGGTGCGTTACTCAGACTGGGTAACCCTTTTGGTGTAACCATGCATTTATTGATATTTCTTTGCAGTTCTCCAAGCATGCTACATGCACATCAACGTTTGATGTCGCGTGCTATGAACCCGGCTACAAAGAACACCAGGACGTCGTCAATTTCTACGAAACTGTAACGAAAGTCTTTCAGATGTATCCCACGTACAATATGCTTGCTGCGTCAGTGTTTCTGTCCTCGATTTTTTGTGCTTTTTTGACATGAACGATAGATCCGGGATCCTTCCTTCTAACAAAACGACATATACCCTGGCTCAGATCACAAACGCACTGTATTCGCAAACTGGCGCTGTCCCCTACCTCGGCTGCAGCGGGAATGGCACTGCGTTGGATGAGGTGTGGTACTTCCACCACGTTCTTGGAACTGTGCGTAGTCCGCGAGCTTTCGTATCTGTGCATGGATCTTGATGGGTGTTTTAGGAGCAATATGGTCACTTCAAGACGCTCAACTCAACTACTCCTTCGAGTTGTCAAGCTACTGGTATCTGGTACTATGAGCGGACACCAACTTCTGAGCGTTTAGTGACATATTAAATGTAAAAATGTTCTATTGGTTGCAAAATCAAGGTAGAAACATGTTATTCCCTCAGATTGTAGTAGATACGCGTCTGGCTATGTTATGGCCGACCGAGAATGAGCTCACGTGATTAACGCGACGCGATCATGGTTGAACAAATATACAAAAACAAACGACATAGTTTGTGGTTGGATCACCGGGCCTGTTCGATTTTGGGGTCGCACTCCAGCGTGGCGGTTGTTTCTTTTCCTCTCTCATCTACAAGTCAAATATTTCCATCACCAAATGGTAGTCACATTAGACTTGAATTCGTCAGCAGGGTCATCCAGCTCACGCAGAACCCTCTCGGACATATCACTGGCTGTTGCAAAATGTAAGAAGATTGTCGTGGTCACCGGGGCAGGCATTTCGTGTTCTTGCGGCATTCCAGTACGCCTTTCATTATTGTTGCACTCCTATATGCGTTTAACGAATATCCCGATAGGATTTCCGTTCGTCCGATGGTCTATATGCATTAGTGAAGCAACAGTACCCCGACGTGGTATTGAAAGGCCGGGACCTCTTCGATGCCTCGTTATTTCGCGATTCTACGTCTACCGCCGTATTCTATACCTTTATCTCGCAATTAAAGCGTTCCATCGACTCCGCTACCCCTGCGCCCACCCACCGATTTATAAAAACCCTTGACACGAAACAGAAACTCCTGCGTTCCTATACACAAAATATCGATGGCCTCGAGGAACGTGTTGGGCTGTGCGGAAGCTCCAGCCAAGACGCAAAAACCAATGGAAAGGGAAAGGCAAAATTGAAGGTCAAGGAAGTGCGGAATGTACAATTACATGGCGATATACACCGGGTGCGATGCACATTCTGTTCTGCGGACTTTCCCTGCACGGAAGAACATTTGGATAAGTTCAACAATGGGGTACCACCCGACTGCCCCGAGTG